TTCCTGCCAGGGCAGGGGGACCAGACTCGATGATCTATTGAGGTCCCTTCCGACCCTAACCTCTATGAATCTGATTGCTTGGTTCAGTTGATGGTGGCATTATCCAGGTACATAAGGAGCTGGAGGGGAAAATGAGGTTGTGAAATCATATTAGTCGATTTTTCTCCCTGTGATAAAAACTAAATTAAAAATACATGTTAAATGGTTCAATTAATTAGAATGTAATGGTGTATTTTGTTCCCATGCTCTAATTTGTGCTAAGTTGAAAGTAGTTGCTTTCTTCCATCCTCCGCCTCCTTATAAATAAATCATATGCTTTCTGGATAAACTCATCCAATTATATCTTAATTGTTTCTAGGAGGGAACTCCACTGCTGTATTAATTGTCATACATGCATTCATTCACACAAGACCAGATTCCCATTGGTGATATTTTAATTATTACTACAGTGCAAACGTTGCATTCAATTGCTTATTAACTCTACAGGCTGTTGCAACCTTTTATCAGCTAATAGATGTCAAAAGGGGTATTTTCTAGTAGGATTAGGATGATCTCTTTACTTATCCCTTTTATGAGTACTTCTGTGGAGCCTAGATGAAAACTAGAGGCCTCAGTTTTCATCTGAGCATGGCTGTGGATTGGACACTGGGCATACAGTAAGACATAGCTTCTGCCACAAATGTTTATATTTATATAGCCAAGGTAGATAGAGGGCAGTGGGAAAGGAAGGATTGTTACCCCCATTCCACATGGGAGAAGCTGAAGCACAGGAGGCCAGAGACCCCTAGAGATTCAGAGAGCAACTTGTGGGATTTATACTTGGGCCTAAACAGGCTGGGCATGTAATGCTCATTGACTTTCAGCGTGATGTGTACTTTTAAATCACTTAGACACTTTGGAAAATCCTACTCTTTGTACTAGATTACATACTAATAAAATGGATAGTGTAATATCTGGGAGGAGTTTAGGACTGCATACAACCAGGTACTGTGTGCTAAGGTCTACAGTGCCTTGTCTACACTAGAGATACAGAATGTCAGAGTCATGTTACTGAACAATTTTTCGGTTTGCTGGCCAAAATGAAAAGCTGAGGAGGGAAAAAAATCAGTTAGGTTCCAAGCAAAATGAAAAGGTTACATTTTTTCCAACAAAACAAAAATGTCAAAGGATTTCATTTTTGGTTGCATAAAACGTTGTGTTTAACCTGGAACAAAACATTTGGTATCTGTTTGAGGCTTACCTTTCTTTTTTAAAATTTACATTTAAGTCGTTTTGGTAACTAAAAGTCACTTGAAAAGGAAAAAAATATCTCTTTTAGACCAGTATATTTGCTCAGCTGTAGCTAGAATCTGTTGCATTCAACAATTTTAGTTGTCAAAGGCAAATAGAAGCATGTGGTCATTACTTTATTCTACTTTAGACAAACTTCACCTGTACTATGAAGGCAGCAGTATTGCAAGCATCCTCAGCAAGTTTTTTTCCCCCAACCATTCTGCAAAAGACTCCTCTCTAGGAGTGACAGACAGTGTTACTACCTGTGTCTCCAGCCCCATTCAGTCCTTGGTTCCTCTGGTGAGACTGGTGCCAACAATAGTGATGACTATGGCCGTGTTATCTAATGGCACACCAGGGACATCTCAAAATGTGCATGGTTTTTGTGCTGAAACCTTTTTCTAACCAACCAGAGACAGGCCTCTCACTATGTAACTCTACTGCCGTCAGCTGCAGCATTCCTGATTTACACCAATGTAAATGTGATCAGAATTAGGTTTTCTAACATTATACTCTAACGGTATATTTTATAGGCATTCTGCTTCTGGAAAAAGTGTGTAGACAGGTGTAAGAAAGTACTTGTCCTCATGCCCATTAAACTAGGCTGACACATTGCTGAAATATTTAGTAGGAATAGGCAGGATGGGCTTCTGAGTAAGACCTCATCCTGGATACCAGCTCCCTGTTCTGACTTCTTCTGTGCCTCTGTGCAAGACAATATCTCTCAGCTTAAATTCTGCTTCTGTAAAACACTCATCTGTCTGTTTAGACCATAAGCTCTTGCAGGCAAGGACTGTGTTTCACTGTGGGTTTCTGTACAGTGCCTAGCACAATGGCGTCCTGTTCATAGTTGGAGCAGCTTACCTACTGATTAATCAATGACGATGCAGTTAGAAATAAAGACACACAACAATTTTCACACTGTAGCAGTTCTGTGGCAAGCACGGCCATGCATGTAATATGGCTCCCTTGAGGCCAAAGAGTGAACTTTATCTTGAGTTAAGCTTGAATATTCCATTATTTCCCTTTCAGTACTTCGTTCGCAGATAATCAAACATATGAGAGGGAAGGGAGACAAAGCATTGCTTCAAGATCACAGATTTTGAACCTGATGCAAAAGTTGGCGAGAAATGACAAGGAATAAGAAACCAGACTCAAAAAGATTTGGACCGGACAAGTATGAGGCCTCCACAAAGGTATGGCTCTCAGTGCAGATGTAAAACAGAAACAGGGGAGAAGAGACTTGCCCTAAAGGGAACTGTCAGCTAGGATACTGATCAGATGATTTGGAAGATACTGTGGGAAAAGGATTTAAAATCTCCTTAGCCCAGTGGGTCAATGAGATAATATGGGCCTGATCTCCTGCACTGAAACCTCCTCATTGAAGATAGGAGGGGGCAGGGGCTGGCTAAGCCTCCCTTAATTCTCATGCTGCAGTTGATCCAGCCCTGGCATACATTAAAGCAGCAGGGATGATATGGATTATGCCAGCTGACTGTGGTCCGTCAGGGACTGCATGCTAGCTGAAAATGGCCAACGGGCAACTACACTCCTTGCCACCACTGACACAGTCCCTCTCTCCCCTGTCATACACAATTTGCTGAAGCAGGGGGTGTAGTAGTTGGCACATAAGCCAGTTCTGCGGCTGCTGAGAACTCATCACCCCTCCAGGGGAACACTAAGATAGCAGCTACAGCCAGATTCACCTGCTTTGTGCTGTTTGTGAGCAGGGACAAGGGGCCAGAATTAAGTGGAGGGGGCTTAGGGGAGGGGAATGGTGGTGAGGGTGGAGAAAGATTCAAGTCAGCCCTGTGGCAATGAAAGATTGTGATTGTATATAGTGTTTCAACTGACCTATAGTATACAGTACCGGTAAGCACTGGAAAGATACTGCCTGGAAGAGGATGCAGGACAGAATAGCAACTCCCTTAGATAGTATGAGGGAAGTGTAAGGTTCAAGGCTAAGGTGAACCCAACTGGATTCTTTCTTGTATAAAAAAAGGGTGAGGGATCTCTAGCTATTCCTAGTCCCAAAGATAACCCTGACAGTCTAAACTGAGACTGTGCTCTCTGATCCTCTGTGCCTGCAGCCAGATGGATTGAAATAATAGCACCCAGAGAGCTGGAGACTTTCCCTATTTCAGCACTGACTCTTGTGCCAAGAAGATCCAGTTAATGCACTTTATGCAGGGTGGACAGATGTACCAGAGCCATAGTTCTATGCATTTGAAAGGAAGATGCATAGGAATAAGCCTGCAGCTCAGAATATTCAAGCAGCTAACTATCCTACTGAGTCTCTTTTGAGTGACTGTCAAGCTTGCTGCTGTCCTTCTGAAAATTAGGGCAAAGGTGGTATTTATCCTGCAGGCTGCTAAAAACTGCTCAGCTTCTGCAGAGCTGGGTGTTACCTAGGAAGGATTGGCCAGTGACTGGAACATAAGACCTTAGTCACCTTAGCTCAATTTCCTGTTCCACCATGGGCTTCCTATGTGACCCCAGGACAAGTCCTACTGAGCTCTTCTGTACCTCCGTTTCCCATCTGAAATAAAGGGAATCATAGTACTCCTCCATCTCTCAGGGCTTTTGAAAGGATAAATACAAGGAAGACTGTGAGGAGCTTTGGTTCTTAGCCAAGTAAGTATCATAGAAAGATATAATTTGCAGGTCTTCCTTAGCATTTGATCCAGTAGCAGAAAAGAGCATAAAACAATCCATTTTGTAAGCTAATAAAGACTTGTGTGGGCCAGCTTCTTATTTAAAATTAGGCCTCTGTAGCCACTTAGAGTGCAGTTGTAGCTGTGATGGTCCAGGAATTATGCAAAAGGCTAGGATTTTGGGGGGTGATATCTTTTATTGGACCGACTATATAGTTGCTTTTGAATGCAAAGCTTTCTTCAATGCTTTGTATTCAAAAGCTTGTCTAATTTTATACCAACTATACAGTCGGTCCAATAAAAGATATCACCCCTCAAAGTCCTTGCTTCTGTAGCCTGTACTGTAGATTAAAGAAGAATCGGGGCCTATGCGTTAGAATGGTATCTGATGTTTAAATATCAACAGAACCAATCAAAAAGGGAAAGAAACCCTTCACATTTCTGGGGAAACTCAAAGGAAATGGGTACTAACCCTGATCATAACCATATAGGAGAAGTCAATAAGAAGTTTCAGGGGGAGTTTGAGTGACCTAGATTTCTTTTTGGATATGGGTGAGAAGGGAGGTTTGTGGGGTAAGGTGAAGCAAGAAACATCAGGCCGAAAAGTGTAAACATGTTAGGGTGGATGGCCTTTTTCTGTTTCTATGGATGGAGAAATCAAGCATATCAATACAAAGGTCAAAACCAGAGATAAAAACCTTGACATTCAAAGGTTTTGTAACAAAACAGGCAATGGACAGGCTCTAGAAACTCAGCGCAATGCACCCTGCTGGGGATTGATCACCCGCCTGTAGTGTGAGCTTTCAGGAACCTCTGTGAGATTTCCCCAAACAGTCCGAGTTTGCTGACATATCCCTGGGGCTTGTTTCTTATTTATTTTACAGCCTCTTTATACTGCCCTGGCAGTGTAGCATGAGCCTGGAAGACAGCATCAGGTAATGTTCACCCCACAGGTGTTGCAAAATGAAAATGGGGTCAGACTAGAGGCCTCTTACAATAATCAGCCCTTCAGTGAGATTAGTCATGGGAATCACTGCTCAGGAGGGTGAATAAGTCTGACCATACATCAGCTTCTAGCTCAGTGTTTCCCAAAGTTTTGATACCTGGGGCAAACTATTTTTCAGGATTAAACTGGCGGCACATTTCACTCATACCCCAAATGGTGTATGTGTGTATGTATACACACACACACACACACACACACTTTTTCAAAACATAACATTTCATTCCCCAGCCAAAGGAAACCATACCAGTGCTGAGATATACTGTTAAAAAATAACTCCATAACTGTTCTGAATTTTGCAGCACCCTAGGTGAAAATCGCAGATCTAAATTTAGAAAAGATATGGAGAGGGTCTTGACATTAAAATGTTGAGCTCCACTGATCTAGCTGTTGCCACTTATGGGTGACAAGGACAGGACCACCCCCTGCTGTGCCTTTCTCTTTGCACTGTCTTCCCTCTCCTGACCCCTGGTCTCTAACTCAGGTCAAGGGCAGTCCCTGCTGCTGAGGTTACTCCTGCAGGGTCTCACAGGCTGGCAACCACCCCCATAGTCCCTCCTGCATGGGAGGAGTGGAGAGGATGAGCCAGGTGGCAAAGCAGGGCTCCATCTGTGTGTCTCCCCACCCCACTGCTGGGACCAAGGGGTCGGGGGGGAAGGGGCCAGCAGAGGGTTTGCTTGTGGTGTAGGGGAAAGCAGCAGCAGTCCTCAGATGAACACTTACTGGCATCACTGAAGTAGCTGGGGCAGGCATAGGGAATCACTGTTCAGTCAGCCGATGGGAAGCATATGCTTTATATTAGCAATAATTAGGCTAGCACAATGGACACCTTATTCGGTATACATGTCTCTTTTCCTGAGGCTGTTCCTCTCTCCCTCTCAGCTGCTGTCTTCCATCCTCTCCCTGCACTTGTTTTTCATTCTGCCTCCTCTCCCTAATGCACATTTTCCCCCACACCGGATTCCTTTCCGTTGCTTCCTTCTATGTTTTTTCCATAGTCTCCAAAATAGCACCTCATTCAACAGTGGCTGTTAAGCTCAAGTCTAATTGGCATAAGCACCACTTTCAAAAGTGACTTATGTACATGGAGACCTAAGTCTCTCTGAAAAAATCAATGCAATTTAAGAATCTAAGGGTATGAACAGACATCTCATTTGACCTGGACCAATACAGGAGTGAATACAGGAGTGACAACAGTCATTTACACATGTTGCCCTTCCATGCTGCACTGATGCTTCTCTGCCAGAGCAGTGGTCACTGGGTTCAATAAACACAGGCATATGTGAATGAGAAGAACAACACACTTTATTTGTGGTGCTATAGGCAACCCCTCTGCAGATCTTTTGTCTGGCTCTCACTAAAGAACTAGCAGCTCTCTTGCTGAGGAACTATCTCACAAATCCTGACTCCCTCAGGCTTTTTAGGGAGTATCTCTAAATTATAAGTTCTATCATTGCAGCCAGTAGATAGCCAGTGAGACCACACACCCTGACTGGCTTGTCCCTGGAATGAACTGGAGGAACCATACAGGTGTATAGCAGAATGCCCCAAGAAAATGTCAGTACATTTTACCTGGCATATTTCAGAGGGACTTGGAGGAGGACAGTGGATGTGTATGTCTTTATGAAAAAAATCTTTCTTCTGGGACAAATGTGAAGCCTAAATCATTTTTGAAACAGGGATTTAAGTACCTAGGCCACACTGGGCTGAGACGAGAGCCTCAGCTTTGTCATGTATTCTGGTCCCTGAGCTGGCAGTGTATGTCTGGGGGAATGATGCAGCAGAGCTGGTTGGAAATGAAAATTTCTCTTGCCTCTTGACTCTTTTGCTGTCTCCAGCTTTCTGATGTGAGAAAAGGTCACATTCTTCCAGCTTTGAAGAAGCATGGTGAATCCTCTTGTCAGACACCTACATAATACCTTGCAAGTCCACTGGGGCCCAGAGAGTGAAGAAAACCTGCAGGTGAGGTCTCAGGTATGTGGGGTGACACAGAAATGATCTTCCAAGGCACTGTGAATACTTTTTTATATGTTAAAGGTAAGAGTGCTGTGAAGTTCAACTTCAGCAACAGAAACAATTTCAAACCCAGTCATACAGAAATTCAGTGTCAGAAGGCACAAGTAGATTAGACAGCTTTTCCTCTATGTTTGAATATGCCACTAGCACTATTTTTAATTCTAGCATAGACAGCAAGGCTTAACATGGACAACTAATACAGGTAAGAGATTATATCTCTGACATCCTTTATGAATGGAAGAGCTAGTATATGATGATCTAGTTTTTCTGTTTCCTGTCATCACTTTTTAAAGCTACCTACAGCATTTTTCCTAACCATGTAAGTTATTTATAAATGATGGGATATTTCTATTATTGCCACTAGAGGTCTGTTCACTACTACAAATATGAGCCACACAAGGCATGCTTTCTCTGTTTCTTGCACTCTCTCTCTCTCTCTTCCTCTAGTTAAGTAGTAGTTGCTGCTATTCAACATCTGTGTTACAGTAATACCCACAAACTCCAGGATCAGGGCCACCTGTATGTCAGTAGACAGTAATGTTTAGAGCGTGCCGAGGTGATCCTTTTGCTTTTGAGGGCATGTATAATTTAGCTTTACTAATACAATTAGCTGTGTTAATGCTAACATCATCATTTTGCTTTAGGAATGGTCAATTGCTTTTCCTTGGGCAAGTAGTAGCTATTTGCTGAATCAAAACCTATAGTGGCTTTGGACTAGGTCTTTGCCATGCTAGATTTGTGAATATAATATGTGCATTTAGTAGCAAAGAAAAGGCAATTTTTTCTGTTCTTACTAAGAGCTACCTTTGGTGGACATGCTCAGTCACCATGGACATCAGTGGTATTGGCATGATCTCAACCAAGGGCAGAATCTGACCTTTGGTTTCACATTCTCAACACTTTCTTTTATTTTAAGGCCAATGCCAGAGTCTGTGCAAATGCTACATTTGCCTAGTTTTCTTTCCTCCTTAGCTATATTCTCAGGTTTAATTATTATGTCCCATGGTTTCTATTAGGTTGATCTGGTATGTTTCTCACTGTTGGTGTTAAACTCATGCTGGTTTTCTCTTTAATTATCTAAAACATGCCTCTGTTTAGCTTCAGTGAGGAGGAACAATACTGTTTCATAAAGGTGGAATTTGCAAAAGCACTCAGCATTGGCTTAATTCTGCTCCCATTATAAGCCATAATAAAATCCCCACTGACTTCAGTATAAGCAAATGTAGGTCAACACTGATGCTATTTGCAAATCCCGTCCTCCTTCCTTCAGGTTTTCTTCTCATTAGATCACCATTACATGGTGCTTGAGCTATCATTCCACTACCCAAAAGTAAGTATCAAAGCTGCCCTTTGTCTGCTTTTTTCATTTACTGTGTGACCCCATAGCTGTAGTTAATTTAGGATCAGAAAACACCCTCACCTCAGGATGGGGCTCAGTGGCAGAGTTGTCTTCTGGAGTTTCTTCCCTCTTGTTCCTTTGGGGAAAGGGTAAGAGGATGGAGAGAAGCAGGGTTTGCTGACTGCAGAACAAGGGTATGTCAATACTGTAGTAGCAGAAAGCTATAAGACTAATCCCTACCCATCTGCTCCCAGTCCTAAAAATGGGGTCATGAGGACACCTTGAAGGGTGCCCCTGGCACTGCATTCAAGAATTGGGTTTCTCATGAGCTCAACTGTGGCAGCTTGGGGTGGATCAACAATGCAACATTGCTATTAAAATAAAACCTATGGCGCACTGGGATATACTAACAGGAGTCCAGAGGGACTCTTGTTAGTATATCCCAGTGTGCTATAGGTTTTTTGTTCCCAGTGTGTCATTCAGGGGCCCAGAGAAGGACCACAAGAATGATTAAGGGCCTGGAGTACAAACCTTATGAGGAAAGACTAAAGGATCTGGGACTATTCAGTCTGGGGAGGAGAAGACTGGGGAGAGGGGATGGACTTGGTGGCCATCTGTAAGTATGTAAGGGGTGAATATCAGGAACTGGGAGAAAAACTATTCACTAGAGTGCCCTAGGGGAGGACAAAGAGCAGTGGCCGCAAACTGTTAGAGGATGGTTTTGGGTTGGATGTAAGGAACAACTTTATGTTAAGGGTGACCAGAATGTGGAATAGACTTCCCAAGGAGGTGGCGCAGTCTCCAACCTTGGAAGTCTTCAAAAGGAGACGAGATATACAACTTGCTGGGTTCATTTGATCTCAGCAGTATTCCTGACCAGAGCAGGGGGGTTGGACTCGATGATCTTTTGAGGTCCCTTCCAGCCCTTGATTTCTATGATTCTATAAGTTTAATTGCTTATTGTGGAAAGTTGTTTTTTCCATTCTGGTCAGTGTGGATAAGGCCTTCTGCAGTTTTGGGTCCAGTTTTGGGTACCATGCTTCAACAGCAATGCGGAAGAAATAGAAAGAGTCTAGAGGGGAGAGTAGCATAAATGATTAGAGGTCTAGAAGTAAAGTTTGAAAGAACTGTGATTATCTACCCTAGAGAAAAGAAGACTGAGGAGGCATTTGATAGTAGTCTTTAGATATTTTGGAAGAATGTTTTAATCCATCTTTCTCTGTTCATTGGGGATAGGATAAGAAATAATGGGCTTAAATTGCAGAAAGGTGATTGAGGTTAGATGATAATTAGCATGCTCCTGCAGCCTGTGCATCTTATGTATCAGTGTCCCCGAGCTTCAAAATGGTGTTGGGGCACTTTAATTAAAGCTCGTTTGATGCTGATACATGAGACACTGCGGGCACTTTAATTAGAGTGGTTCTCAGAGCTGTTCTACGTAAAGTGCTCCCCCGCCCCCAGCACGTGTAAAAACACCCTATAAGACTAGTTATATCGTGGAACAGATTATATAAAAAGGCTGTGGAATCTCCAGCACTGGAAATACTTAAGTGTAGGTTAGACAAACATCTATTTCAGATGGTTTAGATAGGGATGATCAGGGTTCAGGGGTAGGTGATGTGGGCAACCATCCAGGGCACCACGGTCAGGGGGCACCACATGCACACACACATGTGAACAGCCTATGCTTACAACAGCACTTTCCCCTGCCCTGCCTTGCTCTGGTCAATCCCTGCCCCAGGCAGGAGGAGCGGTGCCCAGCCCAGCCCGCCCCTGCTTCCAGTTGCTGTTCAGGTGGAGCTGGGCTGGACAGTGCAGGTGGCAGAAGTGGTGCCTACTCCCTGCTTGACTGCTTGGCACTCCTACCTACCTGCCTCTACTTGTAGGAGCGCCGCTGACTTGGGGATGGGGATTCAGGGGGGGGCACCAAAGGGAGGGTGCTGGGCGGTGCAGTGCCAAAATACAAATTCACTCAGAGCACCATTTTCCCTAAGGCTGGCTCTGGGGATGATCCTGCCTTGTGCAGGGTGTTGGAAATAGATGGACCACTTGAGGTCTTTTCCAGCCCTGCATTTTAATAATTCTATATCCTTTCCCATATTAATTGTTTCCAGGTGATATGCCAGTCACATCAAAATAGCTGCAAAGACTCGGCAGCAACCTAACACTTGTAATCTTCTGGGTGCTTTGCAAATGTACAGTGTTGACATCTTAGGGGGTCATGAGATTTTTAGTCTTTGTCTTGAAAACTTACAATTGCACGAGGCTCTCAGTTTACACTTGAGAAATCTTGTGACAATTTAAGCGGATCTCTTAGTTTTTGAGAGTCTTGACTTTTGAGCACTTACGACAATGACACTGAATTCACTAGCTCCTGTGTGTAATATATGTGGCATGTTACATTCCAGATCTGGAAAAGATGCTTCTGGGGACTCAAGAGTAGCCTAGCAGCCTCATCATTTTTCTTACACTCCCTGTCCTGTTGTTCTCACTCTCTCTTTTTTATTGTGGGTTGAAAAACCTTGGGAAAATCTGCTTGGCACGTGAGTTCACTTTTATAAAAGCAGCTTGCAAGTGTATGCATGGAGGCGAGTTAACCCTTTGAGGACTGTGGTGATATGTATATAAACTCCCATATTCATCTCCTAAACATTCACTTGGATGGCAGTCTGGAAAATGTCAGTTTGAAAGGATTCACTTGAGATCTATGGGGAACTTTAAAAACAAAATCACAGGCTCCCTTTCTCCCTTGTAATATCATGATGAATAGTGATGAAGCAAGGCAGGAGGACAACAGCTGTGCATTCTGATTCACCTGTGCTGAAAAAATTATGGGATCTGAAATGGGAGAATTTGATCAACCTGCACAAAGAAGTCCCATTTGTCACAAACGTACAGTGCAGCGCCTGCATTTGGAGTGTCACTTCTTCCCCTGTGCAGCTTCATTGGCACTAAAATGCTGGGAGCAGTTGGAACATTTCTGGCAATTTGTCAGCCCCGAGGTATGAACTGAGGCTGAATGGGCAAACAGCAGCGGCTTTAGAGCTGAAAGGAGTGTGCTCACCCGAGTCTGAATCTTTTATTTAGCAGCCTTCTGTAGTTCTGTGGAGCAGCCTGTATTCTGTGGCCCTATCTCTAGTGTAGCTACATGAGAATTTGGTCCATTTTTTTGTTTTAAAAAGTTTGATGCATTTTTTATCTTCTTTCACTGTACTTGGAAAATAGACTAAGCTCCTGCCCTTAATGCTCTTGTGCCTGCCAAGTTACTCTCATTTATTGAAAGGATGCTTCAAAATATCTTGGTTTAGATCCCTCATCTTCACTGGAGCTAGGCTGAATAGTGATCTAGCCCCTTCCTTCTCAGTAAATAGAGAAGTGATAGGCCTTTTTGATTGAAGCCCGACTCTTCACTTAATTGTAGAACAGGATTAGAGCAGAACTTTTGCTGAGATTCTGGGATGTTTATGTGACCCGCTGGTTAATATAGATTGTCTGTGTCTCTATTTGTGTCTGAGGCACAGCGATTGTGATTCTTCCACTGCCCCTAGCTACAGAGTCTGGTCCTCTTGCTTTTATAGATACTCAAGCATTAAACTCTGGAAATCCCTAGTTCTGTGAT